ATTGTATTTGTCAAGTTCTTGTGTTGTTGTTGTTAAATCAGGTAGTTGTTTTCTTTCTATGTTTGATATTTCTAAAGCAGGTGTGTCAATATTATCATTTGTTTTTTCTATTGATATCCACTCATCAGGGATTCTTTCAAAGAAATATTTTTTACCTAGTTTTATTAATATATTTCTTATATTAGTTTTGTTTGTAATAGGCAGAATTATTTCTTCATCTACAATGAATTGTGCATCCAGTTTGTTGATGTTTTTAGGAAGAAAAGGTTTATTTTTAGTATTTGTTTTTGGAACATTTATCCATTTTTTATTAATAGGGAATATAATCTCATATTTTCTTCTTGCTTCTTTAATGAATTCATTGGCAGTATTTTGTTCAGTAATTGGGAAGATATAATTGAAAGTTGTTTTATCTGATGAGTTAGGTAGCCTTGGTTTAGGAGTAAAATAATTGTTTGGTAATTTTTTGAATATATAGTATTCCCTTAATTCTTGTACTATCTCATGAAGAGTTTTTTCTGTTCTATTTGAGTTGAAAAGGAAATATTGTGCTAAGTAATTTGGTAGACCTTTTGGAGAAAATGGTAGAAGTTCTCTTGGTTTTGGAAAGTTAAAATATGTGTCTGGTAATTTGCCTGAGAAAAAATATTCTATCCTTAATTTTTCTCTTACATTCCTTAATTCCTTTAGCATGGAATATTTTTTGATTGGGAAAATCTTTTTCCATTCTACTGATAATTCTTCAGGATCATTTGGTAGTATTGGTAATACCTTTATGTATGAATCAGGAAGTTTGTTGGTTTTGATGTTGAAATAGTTGCTTAAAGTTCTTTTTGTTTGGTTTGCTAAATGGTGGTATATTAATGGTAGTTTGTATGGAATTTTGACTTAGATTGATTTATCTATTAGGTTTGGATGTGATGGTAGATCTGGTAATTCTTCTTTCAGGATTTCTCTTAGGGCAAGATTTATTTTGTTGTATTCAAAATTTTGTTTTTTACCTACAAAACCAGCAATATATTGTAGTTTTCTGATGGTATCTGAATGGTTGATGTTTTTCCATTCAATTTGATTGAAATAAGCCCAACCTAATTTGATTTTGATCATTTTAAAAACATTATCTTTTTCTTTCTTAGTTAGTTTGGTTCGTTCATGGGTATTTTTGTAGACATTTGTTGAGTTGAAAAAGATTTTTTCAAATTCTTTTTGGTGTTCAGGTTTAATTCCATTTTTGTAATTTGTGAATGATTTGAAAAAATATGTATCATTACATTCTAACATGTATAGTGTAGCAGGGGGGATCTGACCTTTTGTTACTGTAGATTCTACTTTTATATTTTTCCTACCTATTCTTATTAGTTCATCATTTTCAATTAATTTGTTGAAAAGATCCAGTTGAATTATTATTAAATTGTGATCTGTTTCTTCTTGATTTGTGTCCACACTAGAGGTATTGTCTTCAATTGTTTCATTATCTGACATTAAATCATCAGTAATTTCTGATGATATTGTATTATCTATGTTAGTATCTTTAGAATTTTTGTTTGTATCTGTTTGATTTTCTTGATTATCTTGATAGATCTTGGATGTTGATTGATTGTTAGAGTTTTTGGAATTATTGGATAATTGGTTTTTTGGGTTAGGGTTGGATGTACCTCAGAATGGGTCTTCTCCCATCCTCCCTTCATGGATTGTAAGATTCATTCTTGTTTCATCTTCGCTTGAATTTATTTTTTCTTTGTGAGTTTCCTTTTCATTGAAATGTTTGAGTCTTTTATTTTTTGATTTATTATTGTGAATGGACTTTTGTAACATGTTGTTGTAGTTTGCGTTTTTTCCTTTCTTCCTTTTGTTAATGTTAATTGTTTGGTTTGGTTATGTAATAATTTCGATTTCAGTGGCCTTCAGGCCAGATTCTTCCTTATTTTTTTCTTTATTTTCTTCCAAATTTTTTTAATTTTCTTTACTGCGCCACGGGGTAAATTTTATTTTTGAAAATTTAATTTTTATTAATTAATCCGTAGAGATTAATGATGATTATTACAGACTGGGCAGAATCGCCCAATTCGGGCTAATATGTAAAGAACATGTATATAAAGAACTTGATTTCAGCCTAATGTAAAAGTAACCTGATAACAAGTTAATTAGTTTCAACTAAATAAAACTAAATAAATAAAATAGAAATATTTTATTTAAACTATTATATCAATTCATTGATCCCTATTCATTCTGATCCACGCAAAAACAAAAATAATTGTTATCACCAATTAAAAATATGCTCTCCCAAATTTAATCAGTGACACTTGTTTTATGTACTCTATTATATATTCTTGAAATCTATTCCTTTTATTTTTGTTTTCCTTAGTTGCTGTGTTTGAATGTACATAGACATTTATTACTTTAATCTTTATTTTCCCTTTAAGGAACAGTGTTAATGCTATAAATCTTCCATCTTTTTTTTCAACTTTCTGTACATACTTAATTCAATTCTCATTATTATTCCTACCCCAGTTGAGTACCTATTATCTTTGTCACAGTTCCACCAAGCAATATAGTTTTTATCATTGTTTTTTATTATGTTATTCGCTACTTTGTTTGTTAATTTAGTTTCTGTTAAACCTATTAAATCTATATATTTTTTTCTATTTCTAATAACAGTTGTTGTTGTTTCACCTTGTCTATTAAACCTTGTATGTTTCATGTTGGCAATAATATTGTTTCATTTTCTATAAATAATTGTTGGTTTTCTTCTTGTTCTATATTTGTAAAAAATTTATTGTTATTGTTTGTGTTTTCATTATTACCATTATTTATATTTGACATGGTTATATTGTTTACACCCATGTCATGTGAGTTATTATTAATGCTATTACTCATATTCAAGAAGCTGAGATATTGTTGCCATTTTGTTATTTTGTTTTTCTGAATTGAGATTGGTACTGAAGTTACTTATTTGGTTAATTATGAAATCCAATTTGTTTTCCAATATTGTTGGTGTTTTTTTGTATGTTGTTTACCAGCTGTTTTTTAATTACAGGTATGTCTTCACCAGATGTATCAGGATGAGATCATTTGTAGCTGTTTGTGAATTTTTTGTTGCCTGGTGTTAGAATGTTTTTAACTTGGTTATATGTATTTTTTTGAGTTTTTTTATCATTAGTTGTTTCACTTTCTTTACTGTTCCCTGTAATATTATTGAATTTAGTTTTATTATTCATATAGGATGAATTGTTTAACATCCCTTCATCTTCACCATAATCACTGTTATCAACAGTATTATTTTCATCCTCTTCTCCACAGATTGTGTTTATTTGTTGTTGTATCTTCTTAATATCTTGTTTGATTGTGTTTAATTCTTGTATGATGAATTTTTGAAGGAAGCAAGGCCCAATTCAGTTTGTTGTGTTGATGGTTTATTAAAAATTGTATTGCTTGGGGGATTTTTTTTGATTGTATTGTTTTGCATTTTGACTATTTCAGCAAAAGTTCTTCCAGGTTTATTTGGTTGACTTTTGAATGTAGATTTTTGTATTCCATATTTCTTATAAGCATTGATAAATCTTTGATCTTTTTCACATGCAGTATCTCTTTTTTGTTTTATGTAGCTGTCTGCCACAAGGTGGTTTGTTGAACCACACAAATGACATGTATGTGCATTTGCTCCAGCCCATTCCAATTCATTATTTCCAATTGTAAATGAAGTGGTTACCGCTTGATTTTTCACTTCTTCTGAGTCATAGTAAAAAATTTCAAATCTTTTATGAACATATCTTACATTTGTTCTTGGAATTATTACCATTTTAGCATTAGTTGCTTTGGATATGTCTTTCAAATCATACATTGTGGTGCCAAAGGACAGGTTTGTTAATTTCATTGTAAATTTTTCTCTAGTTTGGATTTATTCTTTATTTATGGCATAAGGCATCATTTTAACATCATCTTTTTGAATCCTTATTGACCATTGGTTTAAAATTGTATTTTCATCCAATTCTTCTTTTAACTCTACATCAGCTATTCTCCATGGGCCTGATGTTCTTGTTTTGATTTGAATAATTGTTCCCAATTCTTGTTCTACTGTTTTTTCAATTACCTTTCTAGTTATATTTAAAGGGATGCATGTCAATCTAATCATTTTTTTTTTGGTTGGTTATTGTATCAATGTTAGTTTCCAATTTGTATTCATTGCCTTCTTCAAGTGTTATCTTGCATGCTTTGTTTCTGGTATCTTTGCTGCTAAAAGATGCCATAATATACTGTTTTCCATTGTTAGTACTCAATTTGATACCAAGAAATTCTTTACCTAATTCTGATAATTTATTTTCTACTAAATGACATTTTCTATTAATATTTTTTGTGTTCAAGTTGTCTATTTCTATAGAAGCTTTATAATGAGTTTTCTTTTCAATTTTAACCCATTGATTTCCAGCAGTTTCTTCTGTTTTGTCTTTATTGGATTTTTGACTGTTATTATTTTTAATATTATTACTATGTTCTTCTTGCATTTCCTGATTGCTATCATTTTCAATTTCATTCGTTGTTCCTAGTTCCTTATTTTCATGTACATTTGTTTGATTGGGAGGATCATCAGGAAACTTTTCCCACCATAATATTACATCCGTAAGTTTTAATATGAAATGATGTAATATTTCGCATAAAAAGGACATAATATTTACACTGAATGTAATAATTGCATA